CGCTGGGGAGCATGGGAAACGGGGTGTTCTGGGAACTGTAGTCTCTGTAGGAAGAGCGCTGCGGCGTGATCCAAGTGGCGTGGGTCTGTAAGCCGTGAGGAGATGAGTGGGAAACGATCCGCGGAGCCTGACCAGGGCCGGATAGGAAAAAAAGGGAAGAAGGAAATGATGGCGGAGTTATCCAGCGCTGTCATGGAGGAATCTTTGAAAAAGCAAGTGGCTGAGAGCTGGCGGCTGAGGATGCCATTGAGTCACGGTAACCGGGTGCTTGTCGGGGGAGGGACCTCTCGCTGGCTGCCTGGGGCTCGATGCAACCCTGGAGGTCGGGGTGGAACTTCCCCTGTGAGTTTCAGACGCTAACTTTACGGGAATCGAGAAGCCCCGTCTTTCTCTCGCGGAGACTCGGGGGCCTTTGAAAGAAAAGCCCTGGGCAGAGAGAGGGGGAAGGGGCTGCTGGAGAGAGTGACTGGCCGCCGCGTCTCGCCTGCCGCTCGCTCTCCTTCGTTCCAAGTGAAGTTTGAATTTGGGGAACAGGACGAAGAGAGAGTGAGGGGGAGCAGAGTTGGGCTAGGAAATCGGGGATTGCCGCTAGAATCCTCGCCACTGATTTGTGCGTCTCTGGGTAATGGGTTTAACTTTTTTGAAGCTGAAGTGTCTTAGTTTGTAAACCAAAACCAAAGGCCTACCACTGAGTCGACTTTGGCTCAGCAAACCCTGTGGAGGGTTTCCAAGGCTAAATCTTCACAGGAGCAGCCCGCCTTCCTCGGTCCTCCCACCGAGTGGCTGGGTGGGTTTGAACCACTGAACTTGCGCCTGAGGAGCCCATAGGCTGTCCCCACAGCACCACCAGGGCTCATATTTTGTAAAATGGGATAATACAGCAGTTTCCTAGGAAAGTTATTGAATGGAATGAATACATTCATGCATGGTGCATCGATAAATATCACCCTAACTAAAGACCAATTCACATTTGGATAAATATTTGACTGGCTTATGTGATGGTTCCTCTTAAAGTTGCCCCATCATAGGGCATTGGTTTTAAGCTTCTCATTTTTCACAAGGCTACAGCTTATTAACAACCTGAGATAAGCAGGTGCCACAACCTTGCTTGGTGAAAGTAAGGACTTGAAGCACTTGCTAATAAAAAGAAGCTGATACCAAGGGCTCAAGTAGAAAGAAAATGTCTTAAAAATGATGATGGCAACATGTACAAATGTGCTTGATATAATTGATGTATGGGTTGTTATAAGAGCCCCCCAATCAAACGATTTATAACAAAAGAAAAAGTACTGCAGCCTTTAGTGTGGATTACGACTCAATGTAAAGAAAACCAAAATCCTCACAACTGGACCAATAAGTAACATCATGATAAACAGAAAAGATTCAAGTTATCAAGGATTTCATCTTGCTTGGATCTACAATCAATGATCATAGAAGTAGCTGTCGAGACCAAACGATGCATTGCCGTGGGGAAATCTTCTGCACAAGACCTCTTTAAAGTGTTGAAAGGCAAAGATGTTACTTTGAGAACTAAGGTATTTTCATTCGCCTCTATGCATGTGAAAGTTGGACATTGAATAAGGAAGACTGAAGTAGTTAAAATATATCAAAGCAGATGGCATCTGAAGACAGCGTGTAGAAATCATGAGTTATCTCGTGATCCACCTGTAAGAGATGGCACGCGAAACACAAATAAACTCGGGATCCGTCCGCATTGTGATACCTGACCTAATTTTAAGAGAAAGAGAAGTGTGTGCTTTGTAACTTACTGCAGTCATAATAATTAGGGATACAAGAAAGGAAGTTTGCCAAGTAGTGCTACTCTCCCTTTTAATTTGACACTTTTAACTTTGGGGCGTAAGGTTTTTTATCCAAAATACATTCAGTTCATAAATAATCGTTGCCAAAAACAGTTATATCAATGCGAATGTGGGGGGCCAGAGCTGAGACCTGAGTTAGTTTATTGTGCCAACCTGGCCGATAAACATGTGGGATTAATTGAAGGGCAGAGTGATAAATGGCTCCGTGAGCTTTGCCTTTCTAGTTCTTGGGTCTCTTGTTTTGTGATGGTCGCACCAGGGTGCAGCTGCCTTAACAGTTCCCTGCTTCAGCTTGAAACGCTGACTTCCTGCAAGATATCCCCAAGGAGAAGTCACATGTACCTACCCTGATGCAGCCCTGGGTGCTGGAGCATCCTTATGGAAATCCCTGCCAGCACTGAGATGCTTATACATTCACTGACTTGGCTTTCCTCCTGCAGTCGGCATCATTGCCTCTGTTTTGTGAGATGGAGGAGGACTTTGTGGATTGGTGTTGGACATATGGGTTAATGGGTTAATGTTGGGCAGCACTGGGTTGGGATGTTTTCTTGATGTGCATGCACTTAGCCTTTATATAAAACTCTCTTATACATGAGTTTCTGTGGATTTGTTTCTCTAAAGTACCCAGGCTAATACAAGACCCAAAGCCCATCTACAGACAATTGGACATCCCCTCCCAGAAGGGTCATAAAGTATGGATGAGACAGCCAGGGTGCAGTGTAGCACCAATGAAACAGCATTCCTCTAGTTCTTTAATGCTTCCCCCCACCCCCACTATCGTGACCCCAGGTCTACCCTATAAATTGGGCTAGACCAGAGCATGTACACTGGTACAGGTAAGAGCTCTCAACACACGGAATCCAGGACAGATAAACCCCTTAGGGGAACAGTAATGGGAGTAGCAATACCATCAGGGTAGGGGAGGAGAAAGGGGGAATGGATCTCAGTGATCGACATATAACACATACCCCACCTCCGAGGGGGACAAACAACAGAAACGTGGGAGAAGGGAGACAGTGATGTGTGTAAGATATGAAACAAAATGCATAATGTATCGAGGGGGGAGGGGAGAAGCAGAGCTGAGACCAAGGGCTCAAGTAGAAAGAAAATGTTTTGAAAATGATGATGGCAACATATGTACAAATATGCTTGACACAATGGCTGTATGGATTGTTGTAAGAGCCCCCAATACAATGATCTTTTTAAAAAATTAATGAATAAATAAAATCAAGTCATCGTCATCACCAAATAAAATAAATAATCATCAAGCTTTAAAAAATGAGCAAGAAGCTTGTTCTTAGAGACGTCACACGTTCTCGTGTTCAGGACTAATGTTGGTACAGTATCTTTGAAACGCCACATTCATCATTTCTTAATAAAGAAAAATACTTCTAATCTGTCTCACACATTTTACCTTCAGGTGTTCAGTTCCCCCAAATCATGACTTGCCCTTTAGTACTGTCCCTGCATTGACACTTGGGAGCAAGGGGACAAAAGAGGAGCAGCTATGGATAATGTTTTCCTTTCAACAGAAGCCATTGTCGTAGACGGGGACCCCTTTCTTCACTGTGTGATCCCAAACTTTATCCAAAGCCAAGACTTCTTGGAAGGACTTGAGAAGGAACTTTTGAACTTGGACTTCCATGAGAAGTGTAATGACTTGTATAAGTTCCAGCAGGTATTTATGCCCATCCCATTATCTATAGGCCCATTTACTACCACGAGACCAGAGGTTTTAGGCTGTGTTTCTCTGGACTTAATTTTCTCTTTCAGCTAACACCCCTTCCGATGACATCTTCCGCTCTGCACAGTAAACTTATAAAAAAATTGTCTGTGCTGTGTCAAATGCATCTCCTCTCATTCTTGTAAGCTACTTCCTGAAACTTTGACTTCAATCGCTCCACTGAACCTACACTTGTGAAGGTCACTCAAAATCTACATCTTAGTTTATCCAAGCCACTCTTATATTTCTCTGCATGTTGTTCTGCATGTCAGCATATTATCAAGTCTCCATGCTTATACCCTTGCCCGCCTTCACAACCACAGCTCTCATGTACATGTGTTAGCAAAATGTAAAGAGGCCCAAGAGAATGAGAAGTGTTCACACTGACATATACACAAATGCTCACGGTAATGGGAGCCAAAGAGTGGCAGCAGCCCAAGTGCCCGTCCATAAAGAATGCATGAACAGCACGTGAGCTCTCCATAGGACGGAATACTTATTACTCGGCCATGAAAAGGCATGGAGGCCAGACGCATGCTAGCACACGGGTGAACCCCGGAGCCCTGGTGTTGAATGAAAGAAGCTAGAAACAACACCATAGGTTACTGTATATACTCCAGTAGAAGCCGACCCAAAAATCCACCAAGGCACCTACTTTTACCACAAAAACTGCTTTAAAAATGTGCTGGGAAACTCGGCTCATACACGAGTATATACGGTATGTGATTCCATGTATATGCGATGTCCACAATCAGCCGCATCCATAAAGATAGAAAATAGATCAGTGGTTAATAATGGCTGCAGGAACGGAAAAATGGGGAGCTAGTGCTTAGGATGAGGTTTCTTTTGGAAATGATAAGAATGTTCTGGAATTAGTGGTCATCGTTTCACAACCTTGTTAATATACTAAAACCACTAGATTGTGCACTTTGATAGTAAGATACTGAAACCTCTGCTAGGTAAATGTCTACTCAAAATGGAAATAGGATCACATTGCACTGCTCAGAATCTTCCCATTTTCTTTAATACAAGCCAAGAACCTAGAGTGGCCCCAAGGCCTCCGTTGCCTCCTTGGCCTTGCCTACTGTTGTCCACTTGAGCTCTGGGCTCTAACCACATGGTCCCTTTGCCCTGGGCATGCCTTACACTCAGGGCCAAGACTCCTTTCCAAATCCTTCGGGCACCCTCCCCAACCTCTCCCTAGCCTTTGCCTCGCATTAGTGACTGATACCTGGATGATTCTGTTTAAAATTGCACACACCTGCCATCCTGACTACTCCTAGTCCCTCATATGGCATTGGGTCTTTTTCCCCTGTGTCCTAAGCACCTTATAGACTAATAATCTGCTTTTTTCCTTGTCTATTTCCCTCAACAGGAATTTCGGCTCCACCCTGATAACTAAAGTGTATCTTGAGTTAATAAGGCATAGAGAGGCAAAGTCTCCTACCCAAGTCGGGCAGCTGCCAAGGGAGGAGCAGCAAACATTCTCAGCCACAGTGCCGGGGACTGCCCTCCTCTGCATGTCCAGGACATGAAACCCACCCCCCTTTTTTTCTTTCTCTTTCATGATCAAGTCTGATGACCTGAAGAAAAGAAGAGAGCCTCACATCACTGCTTTAAGGTACACAAGCCGTCACGTTTGTTGACCTTTATCATCCCCGTTTTGTAGCAGAAACCGCCTCCAAAAATTCCTTCAGATTCAGATTCCGTAAGGTTAACCACCTGCCGCCAAGTCAGTTCCCACTCCTGACCACCCCCCTTGGGTGTCATAGTAGGCCTGCGCACTGCAGGGTTTTAATGCAACGTTTTCAGACATGGCCTCTGGCCTTTCTTCTGAGGCACCTCGAGGTGAACTCAAACGTCCATCCTTTTGGTTAGCACCCGGGGACTCTCCCTCTTATTGAAGAAGTTAGCGTGTCAAACCAGGCCTGTCTGATTCCAAGGCCCCCGGGTTCTCCAGGAGCCTTCTAGTTAACACTGGCGGCGCCTGTTTCACACGAGAGGTTGGCAAAGCCCCAGTGTGCACGGGTGGAGGTCACCTTCCGACACGGCCGCAGGCTTTCTTAGAATGGGGCTCTGGGAGATAGGTCAAAACCTTTTCAACAGTGCATCTTCTTATAGAGTAAGTTTGCTTGTAATAACGTCTCCTTCAGTGGAAAAAGGATGTGCTCAAAAACTTCACCACAAGATCATTGTAGCGGTGAAAAAATGCGAGGAGGCTTTGAAACATTCATGGAAAAAAGTCAATTATCTTTTCATTCCTTTTTTTCATAAACTTTTTGAGGTCTCCTTGTATATACACGTTACATAGCCACCCACTGAGATTTACATGAACCTGTACAACTCAAAGTGGATAACGACAGCTCTAAATATGCATGAATTTAAATATATGCATGTTGAAGTGATGCCATAGTTCATCAGTTCTAAGGATTTTGTGACTGTAAGATCTATAAAATGCTGGTAGAATCAAAGGAAACAGATTTGAGGGGGGAAAGTTAAAACAATGCACACAGGGTGAATCCATTAAAAGACACGTGTACTTTGATTTGGGCGTCTGTGTGCAAAAAAGAAAAAATGAGAGAGGGAGACTTGGAAACATGGACTATTGAATTCTGATTGGCAGGGTGACAAATTTCTTTTTACTTATGTAGGGTTGTTTTCTCATTCTACAATGAGTACATGTTACCTGCAATAGCTGCTTGTCTTTAATGTAACGGTATAGGTTTTTTGTTGTTTATTTTTTTAACTCTTATTTACATAAATGATAAAAACCTGCACAGGCCATTTCTTAATGATATTTTATATTGATCTAGACCCCTCCTTTTCCCTCTAAAGATTACCATGCTCAATTATCTCATTACACCCCTCTGACATGCATTCCCCATGGGCTTGAGCTACATCCAGGCCTGAATGGTAAACAGCCAGAGGGTGAGAGAGTGGAATTCCTTGATCTTTGGCTTCCCCGGTTGGGTGCTGTGGTTTCCTTCATGAAAACAACTAACATGGGAGCCATTGACAGGAACCCAGCGTGTCTTGTGACTAGAAGCACTTTGTATATGGAATAAAATTGTGGAGGCTGATCCATCACCAGTAAAAGATAGCTTTCAGACTCCGATTAATCATGAAGACTTGGCAGAAATGTTCATCACCCATATGCTCTGGTCTGGCGCAGCAAGGCTGTCTTTGCCACAGTGCCTTGCAATGGGATGTGATGCTTCTGGCTGGACCGACTTAGTACAGGGTTTTGTTTGGGTAGTATGGTATAAAAAGGTGCTTCATAATAAAATCCTAGGGATCAACATAGAGACTTGACTTTTAGTTCTGAAAAGCAAAGATGCATTTTATGGGAAGTTTAACTATGTACATTTGAACCAAAATCCCCAAACGAATCTGGTCTCTTTATGTGTGCTATTTGAACTAATGTCAATTCTTTTAAAATATTTTTAATTCGCTTTTCAGAATTGGGTGGGGGGGATTATCACATTTCGGGATAACTTTTCAGAATTAATTGGCTGACCGTAAGTTGTGTTAAAGGGATTTCTACACTGAGAGCTACTTTAGCTGGTAAACAGAAATGCCCATCCTCTCTGATTAGTATCTTGTCTTCCAAACTCCTGTGAAAGGTTTGATTGGTTACCATCCAGTTAATTTAATAGTAGTGCAATTTATGTGGTCACACAGTGTCCATTAAGCAGTTTTGCGATTCAGACATGCTGAAGCTCGGGACTTTGACAGGGTTGGAGTGACCTAGTCATGAAGAGGGCCGGACCACTACATGACAGACCATGCTAGAAGCATGTTGTTGTCACCGTTAAGTTGCTGCCAAATGGGTGCACACCCGTGGACAAAGTAGACCTGCACTCCACCAGGGTCGCAGCGCCATGAGCCTTTGGAAGCAGATCGCCAGGCCTGACTTCCAAGGCGCCTATCAGTGTGAGCTGCCAACTTTGGAGCAAGTCCAATGCTGAGCCACTTGCCCCCACCTTGGGACTCCTTACTATAAACCTTCAGGAGAAAGAAAATGTTGAGAAAGTACGATGTGCCATCAGAACAAAAACTAAGCCATATTAAATGTATGTGGGGGAAAAGGCCAGCCCCCCCACAATGAATTGCAGGTTCAATAGACACAGTTGTGTGGTTAATATGTATAAAGATTATAATAAAGTCATAGAGAGCATGAGAGAGAGATGAGAGGTTGAAATAATGGCGTCAGACACATTTCATGGTAGCATGCTCACCTCAGCCCCACTTGGTGGTCCACGTGGAGAGAAAGAGACCTGAGGGCAGGAGAGAGGGGGAGGGGAAGGAGGACAAGTGGAAAGGAACAGGGGAGCGAGGACTTGGGGGAGAGAGGCCAAGGAGAATCTTTATTACTAACCAAGGCTTATATATCTTTGGGGGGCATGCAAGCCCACTAATTACAGGTAAAGACATACGTCACAGGAAGGGGTTGTGCTATAGGTAATACAGCAATGAGAGGGGGGCAATCTAGGGATATACACGCAATAGGAAGAGGAGGGATTAAGGGTATATACATGACAAGATGGGCAGATCCTAGATTCAGGATGGGATCCTAGATTCAGATGGCAGCCTAACTTTGAATGTCATTGAACAGGTTTGACCTGTTCTCTGGCTCACTATAGAAACCATTATCAGTAGGGTATAAACCTCATCTACAGGGACCAGACTGATGGTCTACAGCCTTTAGGGAGGAGTAGCCCATTGTCTTTAACAGCAGGGAGTGGGCCCAGACAGTAGTCCGGCAACTGACTGCCTTCAGAGAAGATATCTCTAAGCATCTGACCTCCCACCATATGCTGGCAAATAGCCTCTAATGTTTGTCACATCTTTGGGGGAGACAAAGCTGGGGAAAAGTCTCTTTATAATTCCACAAATAGAGGTTTTCGTTTCTCCAGGCCAATCAGTCTTCATCTCTCCCAGTTAGAACCTAGGATCTTTCTCAGGAATTGATCTCTTAAATGCACCCCACAGAAAGAGACGGTTGTGTGTGGGCCCAAATGGAGCCCACGTGATGAATGATGTAATGAGGACCTGTGACCTACCTTTCCAGGAGAATTCTCTATGAAGATTTCCGGGCCTGGCTTTCTGACGTCTCTAACATTGACCTGGATTCAACCATTGATATGTCCTGTGCTAAGTATCAATTCACAGGTAAGGAGAGGTAGCATCCGTGTGGGAAATACTGGAGAGATACCCTTCCGTGGCAGCATCAGGAGCCTCCCAATGAGGGAGATAGAAATTCCAACAACATGGACGTTTGCCATGTAAACCCAGAAGCCCCTTCCCTGGCCCTCTTCCTTCCTGCGGCCTCTGCTGTCACCAGTGGGGGTGCACCCTTCCACTTCTCTCTCGGAGCACATACCGGTCTATACTCGAGTCTGAGTTTTTCGGCACATTTTTAATGCAGTTTTTGTGGTACAATGAGGTGCCTCAACTTATACTCAGGTCGGCTTATCTCGAGTATATATGGTAAATGTCTTTTTCCAAAGCAGTCAAGTTTGACTTTCCACTTTTATTTTACTGAATAAAAATGTCGGTGTGGGTTCCTGTCCAAAGGAAGTGCGTGCTTTTGGAGGACAACGTGGTGATAGACTTGAAAAGCCATATTGTATACGCTGGGCACTTTTATTTTTCATTTGAACCATTTCAAACCGAGAGAGAAATGGCAGACGGTGCAAATTCATTTTCTGTGGCTTTTTTTCTTGGACCGTTTGAGTAGGTTGTTGGCATGATGCCCCATGCCCCAGAATCCTGAAGGCATTCCTACCAGGACAGCCCATTCGGGAAGTTAGCGTTGATCGAGTGTTACTGTCTAGCCCGGGCCCCATTCAGGTTCATGATCTGGTCCTTTATCCAAAGGATGCGGTCCAGGAGGACACCGTGCACTTGACTGCCACGCTTCTTTAGCCTGCAGTCTCCAACTCGTCTTGGTCTTTCATGATCTGGATCAGTGGTTCTCAACCTGTGATTCTCGACCCCTTTGGGGGTCAAATGACCCTTTCACAGGGGTCGCCCAATTCATAGCAGTAGCAAAATTGCAGTTATGAAGTAGCAACGAAAATAATGTTATGGTTGGGGTCCCCACACCATGAGGACCTGTATGAAAGGGTCACGGCATGAGGAAGGTAGAGAACCACTGTTGTATACACAGCAAAGAAGACCACCTCAGCAGGTTCTTCATGCAGCAGGGTGATACAGCTTCCAGCTGGGTACCCATGTTCACCCTCCTTTTCCTGGGTTGTTACACCCTCGCTGCCCACGGGTTCCTGTCTAATCTCTCAAGGTGCTTGGTCAAAGACCATAATACTCAAGGCAGGCGTTTGTCACTAGTTAAGTGAAAAACTGTTAAATGTGGTTATCAGGAGACTAGCTTTGTTTAAGGCAGTGGTTCTCAACCTTCCTCATGCCGCGACCCTTTAAGACAGTTCCTCATGTTGTGGTGACCCTCCCCCCAACCATAAAATTATTTTCATTGCTACTTCATCACTGTCATTTTGCTACTGTTCTGAATCGGACAACCCTGTGAAAGGGTCGTTCGACCCCCAAAGGGGTCGCGACCCACAGGTTGAGAACCACTGGTTTAAGGTTTAAAGATAATTTGAGGGCAATAATTTCAGAGGGCTATGCAGTCTCCATGGCTCCAGAAAGGTTGGAGTCTATTGAGAATCTACATTTCCCGCTTTAGAGCAGAGTCTTCTATAGACTCCATACCTGTAGCCCGGCACCCCCCTAGATCTTCTGGCCTGAGGGCACAGGAGACTTGTCCACGAAGGCCAGCAAATATGCCACACCCTCTTCTTCCTGACTCCTTCCTCAGTGCGTCTCAGGCGGCTACTTGCCAGCTTCCAACAGCCCTGGCACTCTGAGCACTGAGTGTGTCATTAGGAATATGCCACATGAAGCCGTGGCCATGAACTCCAAACCAAGGCCATCTTTAAGTGCACGTGTGGGTAGGAAAAAATGCGGGAAGAATATGTACAAAGATACTGTTAGCGATTGACTCTGGGTCTTGTCCTCGGTGTTTCTCAGGATTTCTTACACCGACTGTTCTTTTGGTCATTCCCAAAGAGAAGGAACAGGTGTCCTTGTAAAGATGGGTCCTGCGAATGTGGGGCGAGCTGGTCATCAAGGCAGGGCAGCTGCCTGCCATGCACTCCCTTCTGCAGAGACCTGAGGGGCCCCTTCAACTCTTGCAGATGCCTTACTGTGCCATGACGACGAGCTGGAGGGGCGCCGGATCGCCTTCATCCTTTACCTGGTCCCGCCCTGGGACAGGAGCTTGGGGGGCACTCTGGACCTGTACAGCGTTGACGGTAAGATGAGGGCGTACCCTTCAAAGCCAGGGACCGCTTCTGAGTTACAATGGAGTTGACCAGCAGGACCGTTCGTAGCCACGACCGCTATAATGATTCCTCAAGGGAGATTGATCCGGGGCAGTAGCTCAAAGCACTCTTGCCACCCCCCTGCATGGTGGCTGGCAGCACCATTCCTCCGGAGGTCGTGCAGTTAAATTGGAGATGAAGAATAGTCAGAGCTTGCTTCTGAATGCCGTTCCTGGAAGGGTAGGGCCGTGGGCAGCTGCCACAGTCAGTCCGTCTTTCCCGCTGAGATTTGAGAATTGTCCAGAGCGAGGTGAGGTGGCCCAGGCGGCTGGTGCCGGTGCACCCCATTCCTGGACACGTTTGTTCTCCCCTGGCGCAGAACACCTGCAACCGAAGCAAACCGTCAAGTCTCTCGTTCCTTCGTGGAACACCTTGGTCTTCTTTGAAGTGTCGCCAGTGTCCTTTCACCAGGTACAGACGGTCGGGCACAACGCCAGGGTGTCCTTTGGAAAGTCCTCCTTCCTCTCAGTAAGACAGTGTCTTGTCTGACCTACTGGCCGGGTGGGTGTCACGCCTGGTGGGAGGGTCCCGAAGTGCCTGCCCCTGGGCTGCTCATCTCCAGCCACGCTCCCTGTGCTGCTGCTCTTGTTCTTCAGGTGTCTGAAGTGCTGACCGAAGAGAAGTCACGTCTGTCTCTAAGCGGCTGGTTTCACGGCCCTTCACTGCCCAGACCTCTCACTTACTTGGAGCCCCCCCTCCCCCGGAGCCCTCACATCCCCCGAGACGTAAGGATAAATTCCTGTCTCCAGGAGGCCTGGTGGCATGGTGGTCAAAGTCAGCAGGAGGTGCAGCTCAGAATTCCGCAGGGGCAGTTCTCTGTCTTACAGGGTCGCTGTGAGTTGGAATCCGTGCAGTAGCAGTGGGTTTGGTGTGTTTTTTTCATAGTAGATCATTTCTTTATTTCACTTTTTTCCTGGCAACAAAACGAGGCTTTGAACTTGCTAGAGCATGAGAGGGAGGAAGAGCAGGCTCGGGAAGCGCGCAGGGGGAGTTCTGTCCTGTCTCACGGGGTCGCTGAGTCGTCAACGACTTGATGGCAGTGAGTTTTACAGTCTGAGATGAGAGGTCAAAGCAAACAAAGCTATAGGAACGATTAACACACGTTTCCCATCTGCTGTTGCTTTGAAAGCATGAGATTTTGTACGAATGGATCAACCCTACTTACCTAGACATGGATTACCAAGTTCAAATTCAAGAAGAGTTTGAAGAAAGATCTGAAATTCTCCTAAAGGAGTTCCTTAAGGTAAGCCCGAACACCACGTTCTGTCTGAGTTCTTGCTACCTAAGTGGGTGAAGAGGCATGGCTAAGACCTTTGACTTTGGTTGTTCCTGGTTAGAATGCTCCATTTCTCTTCAAATAAACAGTGACAGTAGCCAACAGCGGCACGAGTCATCCGCTTCCTGGGCTAAATCCAGGGCTCTGGAACGCACACAGGCTGCCGTCTTTGCAGGAGCAGATCAACAGGTCTCCTTCCATGGACCGGCCAACCTTTGGGCTAGCAGCCACGCACGTCCCCATTGTCCGGCCAGGGCTCCGTTCTGCACCGCTGCCGTGCAGTTTGTCCAGTGAGTGCTTCTGAGTCCGAGTCATACGAGGCAGATGCCTGTCTGGGCAGCTCTGTCAGTGACTACGTGACAGTGATAAGGTAGCATCTTACAAGGGAAAGGGGATCCGGGCAGAGTACACGGATTTATATCCTGGCTATGCGTTTGCTATTCATAGCTCATCATAATCTCTTTGCTAAATAGAATCATAAGTGTGTCATAGGAGCTCCGGTCAGCTGGGGCATCCTTCTCACAGTTCTTTAAGAATGCAAGGCAAGTAGGATCCCTGTTTTACTTGGGAAGAAGTAGACGCTAAGATGGATTTATAATTCTATTGCCTATCTTTGTAGTTGACGTGAACATATAAGAGACTGGGAAGTACTGCTGTAAATGAACTTGCTTAATACTATTTAATTCGGCTTACTAAAGCCTGGTTACCTATTTATAGCTAATAAGACTAACATTTCCAGAATGCTCCCTGAAAAAAAATGCATTAAATAAAGAAATGTGAAGCCTCTGGTGGAGAATCTGACTAAACTAACAGCTTCCTATACCACTCTTGACGTTTTAAATGGAGAATGCTGACTGGATCAGGGAAGAAGCTTAGACCTAAAGAATCTTTATTGTTGACCGATTTTCACTGCAACAACATTGACTACGATGCAGTTAAATCCTTTCCTTCACATCTTATGACTTAAAAGGGTCTTTAGTTGACTCTTCATTTTACAAATGCCAAAACTTGAGAGATTTAGCAGTTCAGCATAAGATACACAACTACTTAAGGGACCGTCCCAAATCAGAACCTAGGGGTCTTGGGTAAAGTATGCCCCAGTTTGGTGCTGCTCTGTAGCGGCAGGAGGGCACCTGTGTGTGAAAGTCAGCTGGACCCTCCAGGAAGCCGCCAGACAGATGCCCTGCAGAGCTGCCACACCCACAGGGCCAGGGTGGGATCATGGGAAGAGAGGCTAACCGTCTCTGGATTTGCTCACTTTCCAGCCGGAAAATTTTGCACAAGTGTGTGAGGCATTGGAGAAAGATGGCGTGGAGTGGAGCAGCCGCGGTCCTCCTAACAAAAGGTAGAGCCCCTCCTTTCCGGCATTTGCCACAGCGCTGTGTTGTCGCCAAGGTCAGCGATCGCAGGCCCTGAGACTATGTTGCAGTCGTACACGCTGTGCCTTCGTAAGCCACGCCAAGCTCAGTGAGTGAGGTGGAAAAGCCCATGTGGGGTTTCGCTGAACGACTCAACATTCCTGCCTTTTAGGTTCTATGAGAAAGCGGAGGAGAGTAAGCTTCCTGGTGTTCTGAGAGACTGCATGGAGTTATTTCGCTCCGAAGCGTTCTTCTTGCTGCTCTCCAACTTCACAGGCCTGAAGCTGCACTTCTTGGCCCCTTCAGCAGACGACGACGACAAGGTTGCGGATGGAGAAGAGGGAGAAGTCGCGTCTACTGCTGATGGCACTGAAGAAGGGGCCAGTCCGAGCTCCTCCGAGCCAGAGAACGGCCCCGGGGCCATTGGCAACACCAGCCAACAGAGGGACGGACAGACGGACTCAGCAGCAGACGGAACTGACGCCAAGAATGGTCAGTTCTTGTGATGTGTCCTTCTTATCACTCAGCTCTCAGCATTTCGTCGTGCACTCACTCTGGACGTGGGCCTTTTTAAACATTTTATTAGGAGCTCTTACAGATATTATTGTAATCCATAGTTCCATTAGATCAAGCAGAATCAAGCAGAATTTGCTGCCCTCCTCCTTTTTAATAACATTTTCTTTTCTTCTTGAACTTTGGTATCAGCTCCCCTTTATCCCCTCCTCCACCCTCCCACCCCCCCTGAACCTCAGTTCATTATATCAATATATATTGCCTTAACTTACCCCATCCCATGTATCCAAATCTCCTTAATTTTTTTTAACCATTTTATTGGCAGCTGGTACAACTCTTATCCATCCATCCATCCATCCATCCATCCATTGTGTCAAGCACATTTGTACATTTGTTACCATCATCACTCTCAAAACATTTTTCTACTTGAGCCCTTGATATCAGCTCATTTTCCCCTCCCCCCCTGCCACCCTCTCCCCCATGAACGCTTGATAATTTATAAATTACTATTATTTTGTCATGTCTTACACTGTCCGACGTCTTCCCTCACCCACTCTTCCATTGTACATTCCCCAGGGAGGGCATTATGTAGATCCTTGTTATCGGTTCCCATTCTCCTTAAATTCCGAGGCTTGTTCCCTTCCAGAAATATTTCTTGAGCACCTGCTATGTACTAGGCCCGTTTACAGGACAAAAGAGATTTTGGCTGGCCTAGCTACGTTCTAGTAGAAGAGACCTGAGATTAAACATGTACGCGAACAACAAGAAAATGCCAGACGGTGTTGAGTGCTGGGCGTAAAGTAATGATGGGGCCATGTGCCCAGGGACGGCTGGGGTGAATGGGCTCTCTGAGATGCCTGTGTTCGGTCGGGTGGTCTGGAGAAACAAATCTAGTGACACTCATCAGAAAGAACTGTAATATCAAGAAATAATTATATATCAAGAAGGCCTAAGTCCGATATTAGTCCATAAGTCCCCTTTCAGACTCACATAGCTGCAAGCCAGTGATGCAGACTTGTGAACCAGGAGGCAGGAAGGTCACAGGTCAGTGAGTGCGGGGTCAAGTGGATCCACCGTCATCGGCAGCATGGCTAGGTGCCAACAGCTCTCAAGTGGGGCAGCTCACATGGGGTGGGTCCCAAAGGCAGGCAGGGAACCAGGCCGACGGGAAGACAAATGGGCAGAGAGAGAGTGGAGGTTCCCTGTTCCCCCACTTTATAAGAAGCCTACACCCCCGAGGAGGCTCGTCAGGCTGTGACCTGGTTGACAGATCGGAATCCACCCCTACAGTTTCATAAAAATTCAAGTTGACATGAATCATCCAACAACTACAGTGTCCTTTGAGCTCAGCTCTGCACGGACAAGAAGGACCTGAGGGAAGAACAGGCAATACAATTCAGGGGGCTAAGAATTATACACATCACAGAAAGGAGTGTGACTGCCCTACCTGAAAATTACACAGCGGGCCAAAACCAGGAAGCAAAAGGAGGTGAGCAGCTCATTTCTGCTCGGAGCAGCAGAAGAAACTCACAGGAGCCTGTACATATTGTCAGAAAGAGGCTATGCCTAGTGAGGATCTGTGGTCGTCTGCAGACACCATGGAAAAGACAAGGGAGTGGATGGCGGCGGCGGACCAATTCAGCTTTGTGTTTCAGCATTGACCAAATCAGATGAGAAGATCTGTCGCCCATTCTTCTGGCTGTGACCTTCCCCTCCTCCCACCCAGTTCTCTGGAAGAACCCCATGCAGTTAGAACAAAGACAAGGGGTGGACGCAAACCTGCAGGGTGAGGTGCTAACTGCAGCAGGACAGCTCCTATTCCCTGAGCTGCAGTCACTTCAGTCTCCACGGGGTAAACAATGCTGGGCTGTCCCATCCAGAGCGCAGCCGTCCTTTGAAAGATCCAGAGTTTCTATACCTAGAACCTAAGAGGAATCAGGGTGATTTTGATGATCAGTAGGGGCCGGGCTTCTGTTTATTGTTTGCAAGGTGCGCTGCTGGCACAGTGGCTGAGCTACTGATGGAAAGATGGGCAGGTCAGACCTCAGCTGCTCCACAGGAGCAAGCTGTGGCAGCCTGCCTGCAAACGGGTTACAGCCAGCCTGGGATACCCTCGGGAATAGCGGTTCTCTGTCTGAGAGGGCTGCAGGAGCCGGAGCTGACTCAGCAACAACTGGGTTGGCTCTTGGTTTTTGTTTCCTTTCTATGGGAACCTGCAACTTAGCAGAAAATCTTTGTAAGCTGCCCAGAATGTTCTGTCATCGAGCATCGCTGTGTACACTAGGCCTTCACTCAAGCAGCGAAGGGGACAGAAAGGTAATGGGGAAAGTTACTATTGACAAAAGAAACCATCGGGCAAAAGGCTTGCTCAGCTTGTGGAGTCAGATTAGGTAACCTGAATTAATTGAGGTCTTTTGTCTCTACCTCCCCCATTACTACACTTTACCTACACAAAGAGTTTCAGAAGTTTGTGGGGAAATGGAAATTAAAAGTTGGAATTTCGGGGGGTGGGGAGGGAGGGGGAAATGAGCTGAGACCAAGGGCTCAAGTAGAAATAAAAGGTTTTGAGAATGACGATGGCAACAAATGTACTTCACACCGTGGATGTAAGTATGGATTGTGAGAAGAGTTGTACAAGCCCCCAATGTTTTTTAAAAAATGGAATTTTCCCACAAACTTCTAAAGCCTCATTGTATTTGCATTTTCACATTGCATTCCTAGAAGCTATCATTAATTACTATAAAATATTGTATCAAATGGCCTTAACCAATCTCATTTAGATTGCTTCCTATTCTTCACGAAGTTGCTATTTCACCTGAAATTTTTTAGTGTCGACAGAGAAACAGAAACTCAACGTTCCCCCCCAAATAACCTTCGTAATTTTTGAGCGTCATTTCCAAGGCCAAGTGGTGTAACAGTTGTTCTGCTGAAGGTTGGGGGGAGGGTCTCCTTTTAGTGCTGCGCCACCCTCGCTCTCCCCTTGCAGTGCAGCGGTGGTATGCTAGGCTATCTTTTACGCCCTGGCTCCTGTTTCTGGCCAATCTTCTGTTGTGTCTTCTTAGAGTTGCATGTTCCCGTGTGTCACGGGGAGTTGAGGCATTGGAAGACTGGTCACTACACGTTAATCCACGACAACAGCAAGGCTGAGTTTGCCCTGGACTTGCTACTCTACTGTGGCTGCGAAGGTGAGAGCGAGAAAGGCAGGTAGGACATGCCTCCTGTGGAGGGACAGTGTCTTATGAGTGCCCCTCGCCATCGGAACTGATCATTTGTCTTGGTCAAGATCACAGTACCCGTTCTCACAGAGATGGAGGGGCTCTTGGAGGTCAGCACTTTCTGAACTCTGAGCCAGATTTATGTCTGTGGTCAGAGTATGGGGGATGGGCCAGACTCTAGTCTCCCATAAAGTACCCCAGGTGGGAGCCCTGATGGAGTCGTGGTTACATGTTGGGCTGCTAACTAACTTCAAGGTGAGCAGTTTGAGACCACCAGCTCCTCTGTGGACCAAAGAAGGCTTTCTATTCCCCTAAAGAGTTACAGCCCCAGAAACCCATAGGGCGTAGTTCGGCCTTGTCCTGCAGGGTCACGATTGACCCAATGGCAGTGAGTTAAATGGCCCCTAGCTACAGCTTCTGTGTCACTGGCCTGAAGTGAATCTATCTTACATTCCATTCTCGCCTAACTTTCAGTCGCGGAGCCCTTGTGGCGTAGTGGGTACAAGGTAGCTGGTAACTGCAAGGTCACCTGTTGCAACCACCAGCTGCTCTGAGGGAGACAGACCGAGCTTTCTGCTCCCGACAGAGAGTTACAGCCCCGGACACTCAGAGACCACTTTGCCCTGTCCTCCAGGGTCATGGTGAGTGCGCACCATTTCAATGGCAGTGAGTGTGGTTTGGGTTTCTGGTCACTTTCAATAGTTACTCAGTGTTGATTGAAAGTAGCCCTACTCCAGTTCAGGTATGTCAGGAAATGAGGCCGCTAGGGGAGAAAAAACCCAGAGAGTAAGTTTAGACTCACCACTCCCCTCTGCAGTCCCCCACTGAGCAGCCTGGGATCACTGGTCCAGATGCAGAGAGCATCCTGACTGCTGCTTGTTTCCTGTGTCAGGCTGGGAGCCAGAGTATGGCGGCTTCACGTCCTACATCGCCAGAGAAGAAGATGAAGAGGTAAGTGGCCTGAGAGCACCCTACCCTCGTGATGCGTGAGGAAGCTCCTTCTTCAGACCCAGGCTTGATGGCCTTCTGTCCGTGTCTCTGGCTGGTAAGTCACTTGCTGTACCTGGCAGTGGTATAATGTCTAGCAGGCCATATTCAGCCTGGAATAAAGATCCAAAAGGAGAAATCATCAGGATCTATTCTGCCTTCTCAGGCCCATTGATAAATTCCATATAATAATTTGGAATTTATTTCTACATCATACATTTCTTTCGGTCTTTTAAGTTAGCAGGAACTGAGAGCTTTCAGTCAAACGTTTCCGGGTGGGTACTGGACTGGAGCTTGTTGGAGACGCGCTGGAAGAACACCAGCTCTCTCCCAGTGCAGGATCTTCCCAAGGATCCCTGATTCTCGTTCTTAGCATGTAGCACAGAACCCTCTGTGCAGGGGTGAATCCTGGAAAAAAACGGAATACACTCAGTGTTCTGATGGGTCCTTCCTTCTGTCTGCCTGTTTCAGCTCCTGACAGTGAATCCGGAAAACAATTCCTTGGCCTTGGTCTACAGAGATAGAGAGACTCTGAAATTTGTCAAGCATATCAACCACCGAGGCTTACACCAGAAGAAAGGCTTCCCATGCCGCACAGGCTTCTGGGACTTCTCCTTCGTCTACTATGAATGACAGGAAACGCTGAACAAGGAAGTCACCCTTTCCTCAGTCCCGGGAAGTCTGGAAGTGCTGGGCAGGGAGGGCTGCAGATTGGCCTGATCATCTGCCTGTGTTTTCCTTCAATGGGACTCATAGGGATTGTCCTCAGTACCCGAGATTGGAGCTAAATGTTTCGCTTTGATTTAAAACAAAACTGAAAAAGGCCTTTTGGTGATAATATTTGATCCATTTCCCACACTGGCATCCTCAGTAACTTTTCTTATACTCAGTAATGTTTTTTATGGTTTTTTTCCGCCAATATTCACAAATACGCATGATTGATGGTTCTGCCCCTCCCAGTTACCCTGGTTTCTAAGACCAGAGAAGCTTCCACCCTGACCGTGCTGCAGTTCTCACTGGTTTGAATCATGACTCTTCTGCTCAGCCTCTGCCTGCCTCAGCCCAGTGCTTTGGATACTGGTGGACTAGTATGCCCTTGGGAAAGGGCTGGCCTTACAAAACTACTTGGACCCAAGAGACATCTGGCTGATGAGGAAAAGGCAGTCAGTCATTTCCCAGCACCTGCTGCCTTCTCGTCACTGGGCTACGGGTGCTGTGTAAATAAACCATTCTAGACTCACGGTGGCTCTTGTCTCTGATGTTGTTTCTGATGTCAACTATAAAACGACTTGCTCTTGATTTTTCAGTACAAAGGAGCTTCGAAAAGCGGTGGCAAATGGAATTTTTTTTACATCATTTTATTGGGGGTTCATACAATTCTTATTGCAATCCATACATCCATTGTGTCAAGCACATGTATACATTTGTTGCCATCATTCACAAAACATGTTCTTTCTACTTGAGCCCTTGGTATCAGCTCTGCATTCCCACCCTCCGTCCTGCCCCCACCTCCCCTCCCCCGGGCACCCTTGATAATTTATAAATTTTTATTTTGTCATGTCTTACACTGTCCGACGCCTCCCTTCACCCACTTTTCTGTTGTCCGTCCCCCAGGGAGGAGGTTATATGGAGATCCCTATAATTGGTTCCCATTACATGTTTCTTGAGAAAGAGTAACCTCGTGTGTGTCAGGGAAGAAAATGCATTTTCACTCAGTACGGAGTGAGGACGGTTCCGTTCTGATAAAGACGGTAGGTTCTCTTAGTCAGACGCTGTGGAACAATCTGTAACTACACCCATGGACTTGAACAGCATAAAACCCAACGATGCTTTCACCCCTGCACAGATTGGCGATTCCCCGGTGTGTGTGCGGTGTGTTCTCTGCAGTCGCAGGATGCGTCGCAGTGGTTGCCAGCAGCGTGTTTCTCGAGAAGTAAAACCCAGTGGGTTTTTGGCAGGAAGTGCACACTTTCCTTACGATACGTCTTGCAAACATTCCAGTGGTTTTAATTAAAAGTGCAGTTTTATGTCTATCCAATTGTTTTTGAATACCGTGTACAAATCTGGTAGGTATACTGCTAAGGGACAAAGACTACATTTTCTCCGCCCATGCATGTATTTCCCAGCTCTGTAACTCATGTTCTCTTCTGACTGCTTTGTTATCATTGCTGCTGCTGCGTTATTATCAGCACATCCTGTAACCGGGAAGTGAAATGTCTCCAGAGGTCAGCGTATCCACTGAGTTACACAGCTGGGAACGTCTGCTGTAGACTGGTGAAGCTAAGCATTTCCTCTTTCTGCTAGTCAAACCCAGGGCGGTCAAGCGTTTTACACATGGAGTTCCCACATGGAACTATCAAGCATCCTACGAAACAAATGCTCCAATGGAAATGCCAGATGTGCGATGGTTTACCAAACTAGGAATGTCCCCAATTCCTTCTGGGGCAGAGGAAAAATACTTATTTTCATGGTCAAGTATATGAATATAAAAGAGTTTTACATGTTTCCCAAAACAACTTGACTTACCATGGTGGGAAAAGAAATGAAAAATACTGTCTGCTTAAAGCACAGGAGTGTTTCCATTGCCACCCTCAGATGAGAAAGCAATTGCATGCTTTTCCATGAAAGTACGTAAAATACCAAGTTCTGTTTTTCTCAAAGCCCCATTTCTATCCGCAGGCAGAGCATTTAACAAGAAATCTTGTAAAGTTGAAAATAGCAATGTCCACAACAGTTGCCAGAGTAGACCTTGAGGTAAGAAGATGGCAAAGTTCACAACACATTCATGGGTTGAGAAAACCTAGTCCTCCCCGGTGGCATAATGGTTATGTGCTGGGCTGCGACCCATAAGGTCTGCAGTTTGAAACCACCAGCCACTCCTCGGGAGAAAAATGGGGCTTTCTACTCCTGTTACCTGCCCTAGTCTCAGACACTCACGAGGGCAGTTCTATGCTTTTTCTCCCTTAGCAGTAAAGACATTAGCATGATTTAAAACTTCATCCATCTATCAGAGAATTCAAGAAAGAAAATGTATGAAAATGATGACAACAGCAATTCTACGATTATGCTTGATCTAATGGAACTGTATATTATAAGACCTGTAAGAGCTCCTGATAAAATGTCAAAAAATAAATTTTAAAAAACTTCATCAAAACACAATTAGATTGATTGACTATTACAAAACATCCCGTATTTACAACCACCGGAATGTTCACAGACATCCGGTGAATGAGGAGACGGCGGATGCCTGTCTTTCCCCAGCAGTCCATACAATACATTGAGTTGTACTTCTCGAGAAACAGCCGGTTCTTCTGTTGTCATACAGCCAGTGAATGAGAAAAGAGGGGCGTCAGTGTGTACTCTGAGTTACAAAGCTGGGAAAGCCCCCCAGTACAGTCTACCTTAAATTAACTTTTTTTCCTGATGTACAAGTACATGGAGGTAAAAAGAGTTTTACATATTCAGAAACAGTTTATTTCTAAGACTATAATATAAAATGTTGTTTTCAAGCACAGGAATGCTCTCCACACATACTGTGAATGAGAAAATGTGCGTTTTTCCACACATTTAACTCCACAAGGGACAGTTATCAATATCATTATGCCAGTGTAGACGGCAGATAGGTTTCGAGTTACAAAGCTGGGAAGGTCCTGATTCATTCTGTGAGAACTTATTATTTCTCATGTTCAACTGAACATCCCCTTACAGAAGGGTCTCATGGAGGAAATGAGCAAGTCAGGGTATAGTATAGCACTGATGAAACATACAACTTTCCTCTAGTTCTTTAATGCTTCCCCCCCTCCCCACTATCGTGACCCCAGTTCTACCTTACAAATTCAACTATACCAGAGCATGTACACTGCTACAGATAATAACTGGAAACACAGGGAATCCAGGACAGATAAAGCCCTCAGGGCCAATAATGCGAGTAACTATACCAGGAGGGTAAGGGAAAGGTGGGGGGAGAAAGAGGGAACCGATCACAATGATCTACATTTAACCCCCTCCTGGGGGACAAACAACAGAAAAGTGGGTGAAGGGAGGCATTGGTCAGTGTAAGGCATGAAAAAATAATAATTTATAAATTATCAAGGGGGAGAGAGGGAAATGAGGAGCTGATACCAAGGGCTCAAGTAGAAAGAAAATGTTTTGAGAATGATGGCAACAAATGTATAAATGTGCTTGACACGATGGATGGATTCATTGTGATGAGTTGTACGAGCCCCCAATGAAATGATTTAAGAAAAACAACAAAAAACCTCAGGAACAGTAATGGGAGTAGCAATACCATGAGGGTAGGGGGAGATGGGGGAGAAAAGGGGAACCAATCACAATGATCGATGAATTAAACTCCCCTCCCCAGGGGGACAAACAAGAGATGTGGGTGGAAGATACAGTGTACAGTGTAAGATATGAAAATGCTAATAATTTACATTTTACCAAGGGTTCACGAGGGTGGGATGGTGAGGGAGGGTAAAAAAGAGCTGATAGCAAGTGCTCAAGTACAAAGAAAATGTTTTGAAAATGATGACAACATATGTTCAAATGTGCTTGATACGATTGGTGTATGGATTTTGATAGAGCTGTAAGAGCCTCCAATAAAATGATTTATTTTTTAATGCATTGTTTTCCACGTGCACAACTGTCGTCGTGGTTACCGTGTTACCCTGTGAATGAGAAGAGCGATGTCCACCGATGTCAGCGGCAAGCCCCGCACATCCTAAGGTTGAACTGACTGATGTTCGAGTCCCTCTGCTACTCAAGTCCATGGAAGTACAGAGTTTTTAAAGTTGTTCAAAAACAATCTGACTTACCAAGAGGCTGAAATAACCCAACATGCAATGTTTACAACCACAGGAATGTTCTAAATAGGTACTATGAGTGAGAAAACAGTGCATTTTCTTCCATGACAGTACATAACACACAATGAGTTTTGCTACTTCTTGAGAAATACACTGAATTCCATACACAGAAGAGTTTTCAATACACCCTGTCAAAGAAAACAATGACGTTAATGGAGATGTCAGATATATTTTGAGTTACAAAGCTGGAAAGGTCTCCACCTCCCTCTGGGGGCGAATACACACCATTTGTTGAAGGAGGTGTTCCTTTCTGATGGTGTGCTTTTTGGTCCTTTGTCAAAAGTTCATTGCCTGTGGGCGACTGCATTTATTTCTGGCTTTCTCTTCTGTTCCATTGCTCTGTCACCAAGGTGTTTGCAGCACTGTGGCTGTGCAGGAAGAGGTTCTGAAGTCAGGTAATGTGACGCCTCCTCCTTTGTCCTTTTTAAAGGAATTCTTTGCTTATCCTTCTTCCTGGCTTCCATCTGTATTCGAAGTTGGTAATATCGTTTCCATTTCTTTAAAGAATGGAATTTGGATTGCAGTTATAGATGACACTAGGTAACACCGGCATTTTCACAATACGTCTCAGGGGAAATGTTTTCAGTTTTTCCCTGTTGAGCATGACATTGACCATTGGATTTTGACATGTGGTCTTTCTCAGGTTGAGGAATTTCTCTTCTGTTCCTAGTTTGCTTGTCTGAGATGGATGTTGGATATTACCTCATACGTTTTCGGCATCTATTGATATGATCATGAGGTTCTTATTCTTTGTCTTCTGTGGTAGATCGCATTGATTATTTTTTGAAGATTGAACCATCCTTTCATCCCTGATAGTAATTCCTCTTGGTCAGTGAATTCTATTTATTTATTTACTGTATTACGTTGTTGGATTTTTGGAGGCCAGAATTTCAGTGAGAATTTTTGCGTCTATGTTCATGAGGGACGTTGGGCTGTGGTTTTCTGTCTGTGGGGTCTTGCCTGGTTTTGGTATCAGGGTGCTACTCCCTTCATAGAATGAGTTTGGGAGTTTGCTGTCCCCTTTTGTCTTCTGGAACCATCTGTGCAAAATTTGTGACAGCTCTTCCCTGAATACTTGGTAGAATTCCCATGTAAAGAAATGGAAACATTCCTATGTTGGTAAACATACAATACTTTTAGTTTTTAACCATCATAGTAAATTTAACTATTGCCAAAAAAGCCATGTCAAACTCTTTTATATTCATATACTTGAACATGAGAAAAAAATAAATTATGTTCCCACCCTCACCATGATTGGGGACTTCCCAAGCTTTGTAACTCAAAGTATGTCTGACATCTCCACGGAGATAGTTTTCTTCTCTTTCATAGGATGTCTTGATAACTTTTCCGTGTGGCGTCCGATGTGTTTTTTTGAAAGGAAGTAAAATTAATTGTAATATCCCTTCGTAGACCAAAGTGCACATGATTTTTGCACTCAAGGACGTACTGACAACATTCTTGTGCTTGTAAACACAGTATGTTTTGCCTGATTTTACCATCTTAGTAAGTCAAACTTTTTAAACGATGTGTAAAACACTTTAATTCCATGGTACTTCATAGGAGACAAACAATAGCTATCTCAAGCCTAGAATGTGCTGGGCTTGCCCGCGCGTGGCTCAGTGTATCCTGTTGGCCTCACTCTTCTTGCCACAGGAATTACTGCACAGCTGGAAAGCAGAGGGTTCTTAAGAAGTAAAACTCATGGTGTTTTACAAACTATCGTGGAAGGAAACGAACATTGTTTCCTCATCCAGAATCTGTCTTACAGACATTTCAGTGCTTTTAAAGACAGAAACGTTTTACGATTTTTCATCAGTCTGTCAAATCACTGATTCCTGATTCCTCTATACCCGTGGTTCTCAACCTTCCTACTGCTGCGACCCTTTCATACAGTCCATCATGTGGTTGTGACCCCCCATCCATCAAGTCATTTGCATTGCTACCTCATCACTGTCCCCTTGCTACTGGTATGAATTGGGCGACCCCTGTGGAAGGGTCCTTCGACCCCCAAAGGGGTCACGCCCCACAGGTTGAGAACCGTGGCCTGCAAGAGTGACATTCTCAGGAACCCGCAGGGGCAGCTCGCCTCTGTCCTACAGGGTCACCCGGAGTCGGCGTCAACTCAGGGGCAGTCGCGTGTCGCTGCACAGCACACTCCACCGTACACCGCAGGAGCCGAGCCCTGCCACTGCCCTCTCTGCAGATCACAGAAAACCACCCAGGAGGTAGGGATGTCTGTGGGGCTTATGGGTTGAAAATGTAAAACAAAGGCATTACCGTGCTTATTCTCATTGGTCTCCGTAACGCTCATTTCAGAAACAGAAGAAAACCTGCTGGCCAAATGGGTGAGACATTAATAAAGACGAATTTGGACACATTTGAGGGCACTCTCACCCCTTTTCACTGCCCTCAACTGCTTATGAAACGATTCTGGTGTGAAAATTAATGTTTTGTCATTAAACCTGCCCTGAAATCCATCTTAAGGTAGATTTTAGGCGCCCCCTCGCCCGTGGAGGGACTGCTAGCTGTTGGCAGAGCCAGGCCGTGAACTCTCGCCTCCTCTTAGGCACACAGCTAGTTAACATTACTGGCCACCTTTGGCATAGTGGTTACGTGCAGGGCTGCTAGCCGCAAGATCCGCAGTTGCACACTATTGGCCGCTCCTCGGGAGAAAGACAGGGTTTCTTCTCCTGTAGAGTCGGTCTCAGAAACTCACAGGGGCAGTTCTACCCTGTCCTAGAGGGTCACTGAGTCGCATCGACTCAAATCCAGCTGAGTCTGGAGTTTGGGTTTTGTGGTAAGGTGTGGCCATGGTAGCTAATGGAATCTGAATGGAGAGGGGCTAGTTCCAGGACACAGCTTTTAAAAGAGGGTCCCTCGCTTCTTTCTTTTCCTGTTCTACTGGCTAGCCATCGATAACCAAATGGCCCTAGGTCAATTCTTCTCAAATATAGTTCCAGGCCTTAGCTCCATTGTGAAAATCATTCTCTTTAGGCTTCTTAGAAGAGAAACAACGCTGGACAACGCTGGATGAAAGAAGCTGGGGCCCTGAAATCCTCACGTAGTCATGAATGTTGAGGCCTATTGATTACTACAGTTGCTAGTAGTGTCCCCACCAGTGGGCCATCCTAAATGGGCTCGTGCCCAGCACACCTGCTGCTTGCCCTTCCCTCTCAGTGATGCAAAAGAAGGCGGGCAAGCCAAAGGGCCCACACTTTTTCTCCACCAAATGCAAACACTTCCTGATGCAGCTGATTCTAATGTGGTGGTGTGTTTAAGCATCAAACACACAGTTACACTTCAGGTTTTAATCAAAAAGTAAACAATCTCTTGTAAAGTGACAAATTCTATGACAATCGCAAGCCTAAAAGGATGCGTCTGTACAATGGCTTTATGTGCGTCCAGAAAGCTTGGACTCTGAGACCCTGACGTTTCGGGAGTCCTTCGCTCTCCTCCTCCTCCTCCTCTCGAGGCTAGCCCTCTGCCCCAGGCCCGTTGGGTTATAAACACCAGGGGAAGGCAGTCTTCGGAGGCGGAGCTCTGTCTTCAGGGGCACAACCACCCCAGCGGCTTCAGGCCCAGGTCCCTGGGCTCACAAGGAGGAGGTGACACACAGCCAACGAGGCTCGGGGTTTAAGCAAAAGTCTTTTCCACCCACTTCACTTCCCATCCTTTGCTCTCCTACGAAGACGAAGACGCTGTGCCCGCCCGCATGACTCTGAACAAGGTGTTGATGTTGTTGCTGCGGATCGCATCCCGGCAGGCGGTGATCACCTGGTTCTTCGGTTTGCCAACTGGATGGGAGAGACGGCCATTAGTGTGAAAGGCAAAGGAGACTCAGAGGCCAGTTTTACCACCACACAACACTGGGGCGAACGGGGTTAGGTGACATGCAAATGTACCCGATCTAGTTTTACCACCACACAACACTGGGG